GGGCGGGACTCACAGCATAAAAGGCACAGAGCTGGGCGCCTGGATGACTCAGTTGGTGGGGTGTCAGACTCTTGATTTCAGCTCCGGTCATGATCTTGGGGTGGTGGAATCGAGCCCCACATCAGGCTCTGTGCTCAGTGGGGAGTCTGCTCTCCCTCTGCCCCTCCCCCCACACTCTTTCAAATAAACAAATCTTTAAAAAAAAAAAAAAAAGGCACCGAGCAAAGACTCACATCTCCTAAGTAAGTGCTACTCCAAGCAGAGGGGGAGGACAGTCCACAGAGCGGGGCCAGTCCATGAAGTGTTTCCTCTATGGGGATAAGTACCCAACTTGAGGGTAAGTGTTTTGGAAACTTTTATGGTAATGTGACAGGGTAATTTTCTGTCTTTGAATCCACTAATAAAATTGAAGGTTTGTATTCTGGACCTCCTTGGTTGCTTTTTGTTTTTTGTTTTTTTTTTCACTTCCTAGTCATTTATTTGTATTGTGCCAATCCATGATGGTTTAGAAGTTTAAAAAATTGTTCTGTTCCTCCATTCACCCAGAATCCCCAAACTCTTCAGCCAAATTCCCAAGGTTCCTCCACCACCTTCCCCACTCCTTCCTGCCTCACCTGGGGTTCTCCTCCATCCTCCTGACCCAGCAACTCCCTCACCCCCACCATTTCAAGGTGGTATCTCATTAGCTACATGGTGGCAAACTCCCCATCAGCCTTTCTGATGCATGAGCTGCCTCCATGGACTTCTGTAACCATCATGAGGCTCACATCAAAATGAAGAGTTAAGTGGTCAGTCATCCATCAACACAGCTAAAATAACACAGGACTCTGGTCCCAGAAAATGGCCACGGTAAGAGAATAAATGACCAGAAACTTGTCAGTGGGCGTTACCCATGTTAATTAACCCGAGGGAGGGTCTCAGCCTGCCCGAAGTGTCCATCCATCACTCTAAGGCTGAGAGGCAAAATAAAATGGCCTTCGCCTCCCACCTCTAGGGAGGTCGACATACACAGAGAAACCGCATACTGGCTTGGGGAGAAATGAGAAGCTCTTATCAGAGTGAGTCCTCTGCGTGCGGCACCAAGTCTAATGAAGTGAGCAGCCTTCGTCATAGGAAGGGCACAGGATGTGGAGACAGCATTAGCTGTGCTGAGCAGGACTAACGGAATTGCCCATTACAGGGGAGTCCTGAACTAGCTGCAGAGAGGGATTTAAACACATACGCATCTTGGGGCACCTGGGTGGCTCAGTTGTTTAAGTGTCTGCCTTCAGCTCAGGTCATGATCTCGGGGTCCTGGGATGGAGCCCCACATGGGGCTCGCCCCTCAGCAGAGGTGTCTGCTTCTCCCTCTGCCCCTCCTCCTGCTCATGTGCTCTCTCTCTCTCTCTCTCAGATAAATAAAATCCTTTAAATAAATAAATAAATAAACAAACAAACAAACAAGCAAGCAAGCAAGCAAGCAAGCACATAAGCATCTCCTTGAAACTGAATGGAGAGAAAAACAGATTGATGGCAAGGAGGGCCAGGACAGAACAACAGAACGAAAAGGAAACCACAGGTAAGGGGAGATCCAGGGAGCACCAACCATCCTCAGAGTGTGGGTACGGTGGGGCTCTATGTAGGTCTAGGTTCCAGGCAGACCCCATTTTAAAAAATTTCCAGGGACAGAGGTACAGTAACTTCAACGTAAGACAACGTAAGCATCTTTCAGTTAATAAAGACAGGAGTCAGCAGCAGCATCAGAAAGGGACCCATGAGATATGGGGACGGGGCGGGGGGAGTGTAAATGAGCGAGCATTTTAGTTAAGTCTCTGCACTTCTCTGGATACTTGAAATATTTCACCATTCCATTTTTTTCCAAGTAAAATCAGAGAAAAGATACATGCTGTTGTATGGAAACCTCTTGCCATGAACCGGGAATTCTGATTAGATTCAGTCAAAGCCAGGCATGTCTTGTGAAGACAAGGCTCTGCTCCTCCAAGTGTGGTCTGGTGACGAGACACGTGGCTGGCCACAGCCCTGACCTCTGTCCCCGCAGCCCCCCTCCCCCTTCCCTCCGGCCAGGTGGGAAGCAGGGTTTCGTCCGCCATGCCCATTCATCGGTACTGGGCAGTGGCTATCCCACATGCAGTCCTCCAGGCTCTGGGGCACCTGTTGGATTCAGAGAAAGAGGAATGAGATGCCCACGTGCACCACAGGCAACGGGCTGGGCAGGTGACACACATACCTCTGTTAACCATCTTCCCAAAGCCTGCAGCCCCATCAAGCTGGCTCAAGAGCCCGTTCCCGCCCCACTCCAGGCGAGCTAGCAAACTACACATGGGACTCAGCTGCGCAGCACACAGCCAAGGTCAGGCACTGACATTTCCTAAGACATGACGAACGTCCGGTGGACCACAGAAAGAAATCTGAGCCCAGGTAGTGAAGGTGTTTCATTTTAATCACATCTCATGCCTGCCATCGAAGCCCCTGCCTCTTCCAAGATGACTCATCTTTGATGCCAACAGGAAAACATCATTAACTTTAAATCCCATAATCTGGAATTGATGATTAACATATTTCAATGTCTGTACTACTGGGTTAAAAAAAAAAAAAGAAACGTTTTCTACCTAAAATCTTTCCTTCTTTACACTCATTTACTCAGCTCACCATGGGGCCACGAGCCAGGTTCTGCGCTAGCTACTGGTGGTATGAAGACCAAGAAGGCCAGTCCTAACCCTCAAGGAATTTACACTCTAAATAGACCCACAAGAAGTAAAAGCCATCCTGATTCCACTCTGGGCTTTCTCTGGCAATATATGTTCACGAGATTTACTGGTGTGGCTCTGGTTTTATTTTTACCACCAACACTGCATCTTTCTCTTCTGGTCATGTCTCAAGAAATCAAAGTTAGAAACTGGTTCTTTGAAAAATGAGGGTGTTAAAAAAAAAAAAAAACACCGAAAACCAAAAAACCAGGAATGGGATCTACCAACCCCTTCAAGAAACCTTTTCTGACATCAGTATTCCTCTCTCATCACAGGCTCTGTGGTAATCAGAGTTCAAGAGTCATTTGTCTTTAGGAGACAATTATCCTGACCTAAATGGACTCCTATGGTCACACAGAACCTAGGTACAAAGGCAGGACCAGTTCCTCCTACTTAAGTCAGAAAGGAGATGCTGCGGGGAGAATGGTAACCTGCTTCCCCTCCCCCTCCAGGAAGACCCAACTATTTCTGCACTCCTGGGGGTTGCCCCAGTGTATGAAGGCCACGGGCTGCAGGTTCTGAAGGCTAGTTAAGGGATTATCAGGAAAGCAAACTCGTCTGTGATATGGCTTTCAAGTTATAAATGTCAATGACAGCCAAGTCTGCCGTGTTGGGAACTCCTCCAACAACAGGTTGACAATAGCCCAATTCGACGGCTCTGGAGGAGGCTGACAGACAGCTGCTCCTTCAGTAGTTATTCCCAAAGGAGCCAAGAGGCCCCTGCAAAGGCAGCTAGATATGGCAAGCTCAAGAGGGAAGGTGACAACATATTTGGTGGCAGATAGACATAGCCCAGGAGTGCCACACTATGCCAACGCGTCTGCCTGCTCCAGGAAAGCTGTCAACCCCACACAGTGCAGAACTGAGAGCAGGAGGCAGGGGCAGACACGGACATTTAAAAAAAAAAAAAAAAATCACAGCCCAAGGAAAGACAGAAAGAAAGATGCTGATCCTTCCCACAGTGTAAGCCACGGCAGCTGGGTATCAGGGACCGCAGACCCAGGTCCAGGTCTCCGCGATGTCAGCCTGCTACCCCCAGCTGCTGCGCTTGGCAAATCTCAGTGGGCAGTGCATGAACTTGCCCTATCTGTCAACAGTGAACTAACTGCCAAAACAGACTCCTGAAGATACACTGTTTGGTTGTGCAGTCCCTGAGATGAAGTCCCATTCCAATTAAGTGATATACGGTGGGGGGGTGGGGGGCTGGATTAAATACGCCTGTTCCATCTTAGACAAAATCCCACATCCTCAGAAATTCAAAATCCCTTTGCGGTTCTGAAGGAGACACTTCTTGTTTCTCTGGTTTCTCCCAGCAGGACAAACTCTCAAGGTGACAGCTAGAGAGAAGCCACCGATAAAAGTCACATGGTCACATGATTTTCTAGCTCTAACATTAAGGCTTTTATTTATATCAGACATTTGTCTGCTTGTGAGTTGCTGGGGTAGGATATCCCCCCCCCGCATTTTTTTCCCGTGATGTTATTACAGAGTTTGTTCAAAGACCCACATACATAAAAGAAACAGGAATTAGGAATGCTTAAAGTTTCATTCTGTTAGCCCCATAACCTTGACACCCAAATCCTAGCAGGCTGTGAAATCTGGATACTCTGTTCCCAGTTAACAACTCATTTACCAAGGTAACTCTCAAGGGTAGCCTGGGCAGTGATTTTAAGTGCTACAGACTATTCAGATGGTTCAAATAAGGAAGCACTTAGCAAATTTCTTCCTCCATAAAATACGTTCATAACTGAGGACTTAGGAAAGTGTACATCTTGAGTTCCTTGATACACAGTTCCGAGATTGTGCGGTCTTTAGCAATCACACTCTTCAATTCATCGGTTTTACTTATATTCACATCATGATCCTCTGTGTCGGATTTGGGTTGGGCTGCTCTGAAGGAACCAGCCATTCTATGGAAGGGTATCACGCTAAATAAAGTCGTGTTTGATCATGATGGAATAAAGCAATAAATGGCCTTCTGCTCCAGTCACTTTACTAATTCTAGACAGATAAAATATCCTTGCCCAATTATCCCAAGAGATTAAACTCCACCAGGCCTTCACCAGATAGCCGGAGATGTCCCCTGAGGATTAGGGTGGCACTGGGAGAGCCACCCCTCAGCCCTTTGGGGTCTGTATTTTGACACTTCCAAATGTTAACATCTGACTCAGCTACTGGATCTTCTCCCTCCCAAGGGCAAATATTTTGGGTCTGTGCTAAGCCACATGGATATCTGCTTACTTCAGTACTTACATGGCCTAATGGATCCTCTCCAATGTCCACTTTAGAACAGTAATCACTCCTGAAATCACAAGGACAAAGACGTTTTTAAGTTTCTCTTTAACAACTTGATCTATTGCAAACAGGCTGACAAAGATCTTCTATGGACTTTGCTTCTCCCATTTTGCAACCCAACTGCCTTTCAACATAGTCTCCCAAAAAGAAATAACCTAAGAACAGCTAGCTGGGAGGCCCTATCACTTCAACACCCAAAGGCATTTACCTTAAAAAAAAAAAAATTGTATTATCTCATGTGTTAAGATCCAAATCCATCCATTATTGGTTTAGCAGGAGTAAGGCTACATTTAGCGAAGATGAAGCTTCTGCACAAAACTGCTCTTTGCTCCAAGTCTCAGGAGGCATTAAACCCAAGCTTTTACCAATTCTAATGCTTTCCAGACCAGACTGCATTAATATACACATACAGTTCCAAGTATATGTACACACACAATTTTAAAAACAGATAGCTCTATCACAAAAAACTATGGAGTTTGCAACAGGAGATAAACCCAATTGAATTACAAGCCTGTTCATTCAAATGTAACAGATTACTTGCGGCAACTTCACCTTGAGGAATAAAAGTAAATAAAAAGAGTGAAAAGTATTTTAGAAACAGATCTACTATGTGCTGATAAAGCTAGTATTTTCCTTCTGTAATACTCCTTTATAAAAGAAAAGAGGGGTACATGTCCTTTAATAGATATCTTCAGCATGTTTCTGATACTCTTGGAATTTATCAGCAGAGAATTATAAAAGAGTTCAGGAGGGAGGGAGGGAAGGAGAGAAGGGGAAAGGAGGGAGGAAAAAACAAACATGTTGCACAGACCCATCTCCAAGCTGACTGCCCAAAAGTGTTCTTTTTTTTTTTTTAAAGATTTTATTTATTTATTTGAGAGAGAATGAAATAGAAAGAGAGAGCATGAGAGGGGGAAGGTCAGAGAGAGAAGCAGACTCCCTGCCGAGCAGGGAGCCCGATGTGGGACGCTTAACCAACTGAGCCACCCAGGCGCCCCTGCCCAAAAGTGTTCTTAAGGCTAACCAACTGCTCTGACCACTGAAGGACCTGACAGTAGAGCATGCACCAGGTTCTGCTAGAAAATGTTGGAGTTTTGTTTTTTTTTTTTTAATCAAAACAAGCCAGTTCCCTCTTTGTACGGTCTACAGCACACAACCACCCTTCGCAGCATGAACATCTGTGTTGGTGTCAACAATCTGAGCGGTACCAGAGAGCCATGCCCTGGGGCAACTGGGGAGAGCGGGCTCCACCTGCAGTCCTTCCCAACCCACCAACCACATCCAGCAGTCCTGCCTCACAGATGTTTACTCAAGAAGGACGGAGGTTAGAAAGAAGAGTCAATGCCAATGACCACATGGCCCCCTCTTTATACCAGCCTCCCTTTGGACACAGCTCTGAGGTGAAGGAATGGTTTCTGGAAACACAGTACTGTGACACAGAAAAAGCTGCTAACTCCAGCAAGTCCCATCAAGATATATTTTAAGAAAACAGGGCACCGGGGTGGCTCACTCGGTTGAGTGTCTGCCTTCGGCTCAGGTCATGATCCTGGGGTCCGGGGATCGAGTCCCGCATCGGAGCTCCCTGCTCAGCGGGAAGCCTGCTTCTCCCTCTCCCTCTGACCCTCCCCCCACTTGTGCTCTCTCTCTCTCCCTCTCTCATAAATACAGAAAATCTTTAAAAAAAAAAAAAAAAAGAAAACAATCCTAAGCATTTTGGTTGGTATCAAACCCCTTCATTCACGCGTATTGGTGTGCACTAACAAAAAGAATACCCATGTGCCTCAGACCTAAATGACACAGGCTGACTTTCAGTGCTTTTACTCTTTACTGTATGTTTTCATCAACATCTCAACTAGTGTGTTACAGGACAATTCTCCAAGTGAGTGCTGGGAATCGAGTGAGCGCTGGGATCAAGCAGTTAGACTGTAAGATTCAAAAAACGTTCCGGATGTGTCCTCCTCCCCACCCCCACCCCCAAAAAAGTTCAACTTTACCTCCCCCAACATTTTCAAATCTCAATGTTTTCTTCAATGATACTCCTATTAAGTAAGAACTCAATCTTGATTTCCTCTGAAGCATCAGACAACTACTCCCTGAGTCATATGAGAACTACTGCATTACCCTTGGCTCTATCATCAGCAAAATTCATGGTCACCATGAAACCAAAAGGCCGTTCGTGTCTATCCTCAGGAAAGCTTTAATGTTCAACTCATCCTAAATATCATTTCCTGCGGAGCCAAATATATACCATTAATGAAAATTTGTAACTACTTCTAGCCAGGTCTCTAGATCAAGAAAACACTGAAGGATATCCTTTCTCCTTCCTCATTTTCAAAACAGCACCACTCCACAGCTTTCTCCAAGATTTCACCCAAACGTTTATTTTCTGGAGATTAAGAGGCTCCCTCACGCTCTTCTTGAGCTTATGCTTCTCTTTCCTCTCTTAATTACACCTAAACTATGAATGCATTTGTAAAGCATCACAGGAATTCAATTCAATCTACAAAGAATAAGGCAGCGATCATAGGGGACAGTCGGTGAAAAAGTAGGTAGGAAAAACTGGAATCCCATTTTCAACCAACATTTTAGCCCTTTCTTTTGTTATTTTGGAGAAAAGATATTACAAATGGCCCACAAGCAAAATACCCTACTTGACCAGCTCTGCACCCTAGGGTGGCATTCTATGAGGAATCTGCATTGGAGTTTCTTGCCTCACATGTTCGAAGAACCACCTCTGCAGTACGTCCTCTGGATCCAATGACAGAGGACAACGGTGGCCAATTTCAGACCCAGGGGTCTCACACCTCATTCCTTATGCCCTTCTGCACCAGAAGCTGTCAGACTGATCCCCTTCTCAAATTTACACTCAAGTTTTTCACCCTCTTATTCCCTATGGACCATGTCTTTCCAAACAGAGAATCTCGGAATCTTGATGCCAAAAAAAAACATGGACATAGCTCAAAGCAGTCTTTCCCTCTCTCATTTTCCAGAACCTAGTAAAGCAAAGTGGCTCATGGACAGCACCAAAGCTGTCCGGTAGACTTACTCCTGTGAGAAAATAGTGGGAAGGGAGTGTAGAGCTCTGCTCAAAGTATCTTCATGCTTACAAAAATAATTTCAGATGATTAAGACCATCTACTGGTGCATGCGAGAAACAAATCATGAACATGTTTATAAGCTTTAAGTCATTTGATCTTCCTTACCAAATAACAGAGTCACATAGGGGAAAAAAAAAAACAACAACCCATAATTGCAATACTGGCCTCAGAAAGTTTTCATCTTATGTGGGGCAGAGCAGCTCAATTCATCACATAGTGAAATTTTGCCCCGTTACAAAGATCTAGAATGACCCTCGACCTCAGAACTTATACAACCTTAAATACATTTGGTTGCAACATACTTCAAAACTTTCTAGCATCTTTCCATTTCAGCAAGGCCTCTCATCACACTGCCACTGAAAGTTCCCCAAAGTAGAGCCAAATCTCAATCTGCCCCACATTGCTCACGCTGCCTGGACTCAAATAGAGAAGTCCAACGCTCACAAGCTGTCCCAGCCCCCATCTTCTTGTGCCCCGGTACCTCCTTCCGAGAACGGCGGTGGGACTCCTACGAGCTAACACCACACAGCCAGAAGCACAGCCACCACCTCGGAGAGGCAGTGAGCCCTCCATAAACACCGGTGATTCTCACTGCTGTGGTTGCTACTGCTAGAATAGGATAGTAAGTTAACAGGATAATAAAAGGCCATTCTAGAGCCAGTCAGAAACCTAGAACCACAGCCACTGGTAACACGTGATGCATATTTTCATCTTGTGAACAGCTACTTTGCCAGGCAGGTGTGACAATGACAACGATTCAGTGGCTTGGGACTTGGAATACCCTTAGCTAAAGCGACTGTTCTCCTACAGATGGTCCCCACGTAAAGTGTGTTTGACAAGAAAAAAAAAATTCCAACCTTGCAACTTGAGAATTTATCACTAAACTGAGTTCTCAAGACATTGGTATCCATCCAAGTTTATCCAAGATTTTGCCAAGACAGGAGGACAATGGGCCAGGAGAGACAGGAGACCACTCATCTATGTTTGCACCTGTTGTTCATGTTCACTCACAACGTCACAAAGAGCAGATGCCCTTGACGAAGCTTGCACACCACCCCAAAGACTAATTTGTATTTTCATCAAGATTATTTTAACAGACACTGGGGAATTAATCTTAGAGTTCAGTTTCTTGAACCTTCCCCCAAGATACACCTGTCCCTTAGCCTAATGGTTCTCAACATGCAATCTCAAACCAGCAGTATCAACATCACCTGTGAAGCTGGGAATGCACAATCTCAGACCTCACCACACCCCCTCCTTAATCACAAACTCTAGGCTGCGGCCCAGGAGATTCGGATGCTAGCTCAAGTTTGAGAACCACTACCAATAGGCTATTAACACGTGGACTGGGGCATCACTAAGGACAGCTCTTTTCCTTAAACTATCTGGCATTTCTCAGATCCATAAAACCTGCTATAGGATGATGTCAGCTGTTCCTTTTATTTTTAATTCCTCATGACGAGGCTGATGATGATTCACGCAGCACCTTAATGGATTTCTTAAATAGTAAGAATCCTTCTTTCCCACCCCTAATGGAAGGTGACTGCTGCCTGTTATTTCTGATGTAAATAGTAAGAATCCTTCTTTCCCACCCCTAATGGAAGGTGACGGCTGCCTGTTATTTCTGATGTAATTACAGGAACAATTCAGGAACAAAAGCTTGTCCTTTATCAACCTCAGCAAAAGCTGTAATAGAGAGTTATAATTACAACACTCCATTCTTTCCCATAATGTGTTCACAACAACGTACCCTTTGAAACTGATCATACCACATGTCATAACAAGGAAACACAGAACCCAGGATCAAATTTCGCTTATTGTCAATAGAGATCAAAACTGCAAGTGTCTGGGCACACCTTTTCCAATGGACAGGAAACAAGTATGCATTAGCCATCTGGCTGTATCTCAT